AAAAAAAATGTCCTTACTTGTAAGAATGAAAATGAGCATTTTGTAGTGTTGCTCTGTAATCCTCTCCACGATCAATCTAATTCAATTGGAAACTAATGTACTATTTCAACCATTTAGTTTTGAGCAAATCTTCTTGCCTCAGAGACCCATTTCGCAAAATCAAGCCAACAATGTACCTTTCACGGATGTAGCGTGTTACAGCAAGCAGTCAATCGTCAACGGGAAGGAGATTATCTGGGATCAAAATTCAGCTGGATCTACCAATTATCAACAGTGGGAGAACATCGTTTTATAATATAAAATGTACACCACATACTTGGTACTCTGAAGTACATTGTTTCAAGCATTGGTCCCAGTGTGGTCAAATTTGTAAAAACTAAAACTTAATTTAGACCATATTTTGTGACCAAATACAAAACTCGCACGATAAATCATGTTGAAGCTCTGATGGTGCGAGCTCGCGGCTCCAGGCTACCTAGAACATTTTTTGCTCGGAAGGGCCTTGGTTGACAATGCGAGTCCAGCAGAAATTCCATTAGCGATGTCTTGTTAGTATGGCTATTTATGTAGTAAAATGTTAAATGCGAGTGCACAAAGCTGCACGAAACCTTTTCGTGCAATACGCAAAAACTTTTCGTGCAATACACAAAACAGCCCTACTTTGAAGTAATGATATGATGATAAACATTTGTGGGAGTTGCAACTGTACTAACATCCTGCAGATATTTCGTTAAGATAGCGCGTGGGAGGGTCCATTTTGATGGATGTATCAGAGTCAATTTTTGACGTATTGTAACGTACTTAGCATTAAAAGAAAGACGGCGATTTCGACTATTTTCTTCGATAACAACCAGTAGAATTCATTGTAAGAGAAATGAAACAAAACAGTTTAGTAGATATTTTTGAAATTTGTATTGTAATACCGGATAACAGACGGATGTTTTCCGAGACCAGAAAATTTTAGTCAATTATGCCACTGAAACGAATATTCTGTAAGCTATTGTTTGGGTGAATCTCTCCTAAATCATCACATTCTCGTAAATCGGGTTGCAATCTAAAATGGTAATTCCGCTGCGCTTCACGTAAAACCAGCGTCACTGGAAGTCAGTACCGTAAAACTTATGTGCAAACGGACAAGTCGTATTTATCTTGACCCATCTATAACACATATCTTTGAGGACTGACTTTATTTTAAGTATCGAATAATACATTTTTGACCCAATGTTAAGAACACACA